TGGCCTATTTGATGGAGGTATGGCAATTCTGGATCCCCTAGTTTTCAGAAATTGGTTTTTAGAATTTTTTATGTTTTAATCCATCCCCTAAATAGAAAAGAACCCCCAATAAAGACCCAGTTTAGTCTGAATCATCCACCATGATCTTCATTTGGCTTAAAATATAAAAGTTTTCAGAGTTCCCATTCAAAACTCTAAAAATATCCCTCTCTTTTGATGTAGGTAGCCTCTGTCCTGGTCATTGGCCTTAGGCTCAGATGGCCTGAATTATCTCTCTTATGCAGTCTTTGCTAAACAAGATCTGGTGTGAATAATTTAAGCCCCATTCCTGTTCCTTCTCAGCAGATTTCCAATATCAAGCTGATCATCATTTCGGCACCAGCAGAGATGTGCTATTTCTGTCCCCGATGGCCACTTCCTTCTTGGGAAAGTGACCCTGAGGTGCTGCAGATGAGCTAGGAGGAAGGGTTGTCCCAGGACAGACGTTGTGCCTGAGTGGAAGCTGGACGGTCCCCTTCTGGGTCATTCCTTGGTAACTCCTCCCCTCCTCCTCCTGATCCAAGATAGATGCACATCATTCAGACGCCTGGTCTTTCACCTTTCCCTCTCCTCTGGGACTGCTTTGTCTAGTGATAGACCCACTGCCCTTCTCCTTTGGAGCTTCCCTCACCTGTCGGCTGATTCAAGATTTTAAATGGAAGTTAGACATGGAGGGGACAAAATGAAATGAAACCGAGAAGGAACTGCTAAGAGCCATACAGCACTTTTACACTGCCTTAACCACACCACTGGACTCTAAATGGGAGCCTGGGTTTAAAAATTCCTACTGTGTGAGCACAAGAAAGGTAATAGGTTAACGTTCTTGGTTTAAACAATCAAGTGCTTGATGCTTCAGGGGCTGCTGGGCCCGGATGTGGATTAGTCACGATCTCCTGCTTTACCTCCTGCCCTGTTCTTGGGCCGGTTCCGTCATTGGTTCTTTCACAGAGGGGCAGAGAAAGCAAAGAAAGCAGATTCTTGGCCATGGAGTTTGCTGTTTAGCAAACTAGCACCCCAGCAGAGATGCCTGTCTCCACAGTCCTGTGTTGGTGGCTGAGCGCATGTGTGCGTGCATAGGCATGTGTACGCATGAATGTGTGTGTGTGCATGCACACTTTTTTCTGACCAGAGTTTCAAGCTGTTGCCTCCCTGATGTGTCTGTTAGTGACTTAGACCAGAGAGATCATCAGTTCTGTGTGGGCTGGGAGTGAACACAGGCAGGTCGCTATAGGAGGGAGTAAAGTGGAACTGAAAAGAAGCAGGGAATCTTGTACCAGCCTGTCCAACAGTTGCTGTGCCCCAGCCATGCCTCAAGCCCCAGAGGGATGACAAGGCTCACTGCTGACGCCCCGAAGTGCAGAAGGTTATGGCAAGAGGTACGCAGCAAGCCTTTAGGCAAACACAAGGCCCTGACCTTCACTGCCTTCACTGACTCTCCACATCTCTCCTGCATGCCCCGGGCACAGGGCTTGGTTCCCTATGGGCAGTTCATCCAGACTAAGTGACAGTCAGGTTGAGATGCAGAGGCTGAAGACATTCATTCTTCATGGATCAGCCTGGATGGCAGGACAGATTTCATGAATGGATGGTGTAAGAGGAAGTGAGGAATGGGAGGCTGTGCTCAGTGGCTTGGAGAGCACAGTGTGGTCAGGTGCTAAAGCTTAGGCTTCCCATCTGGCCTTTGAGATGGCCAAGGCTAAGAGCTCCTATGATTACACTCTTCTCCAAAAAATCTGATAAATCTGAGTGTCTCCCACTAATTCCTGGGTGACCCACCCACTCACCCAGCCGGTGTGTTTCAGCCGGTAACCTTTGAATGGAGCACTGGACTCTGATCCTCAAGTACCCTTCTAAACTGAATATGCTCTCAACCAGGTGTGCTGTTCTTTCCTTACTATAATGGGAGCAAGGAAGCACTTGGATGCCTGAGGCTTCTAGGGTCCCCCCATATGCCCTTGTCTCCTGCCCTAGTGTTCTGAGCTAGGTGCTGCAGGGAGCCCTCCCTTGTTACCGGCCAGACCTCCGAAAGCTACCGCTCCATGAAGACCTCTGCAGAGGTGGAGAGCAGGGTGTGCCCTGCACGCATCCTCCCCCTTGGCCTCTGGTCCCTCTGCTTCCCATCAGGCTTGGCCTCCCCACGGAAGCAGATTCTTGGAGGTGATTCCAATGGACTGCAACACGCAGTCCAGCTCCAGCCATTACTTGCTCTACATCTCAGCCAGTTTCCTCATCTGGAGAATGGGGGTGAATATGACCTCTTTGGACACAGAATAGTGTGGTTTGTCCGAGCGCGGGCTTGGAGGCAGACCGCATACTGCTCATCAGCAGTGTGTATCATGCATTTTAAAACTTCGCGTTTTCCTGCTGCCTCCACATCCCTATATGCGGGCTGTGTGCACCTGCTGGGGTGACCAGGTGCACCAGTGTGATAGGGCTGGCACTGCTACAAGTTCCCCTTGCTACCCTCCCGTGTGACCCAGTGACATTCAAATGCACCAGTGGACTCTCCTGCCTTTTCTTATGGCTCCACCATGACCCCTAGTGAAAGGGTCTCACCCACTGTCTGTCCCCTGCCTGCTTGAGGGAGCCCTTGTCTTTGGCTCACCTCCTGTGTGACACCCCCCCCCGCCCAGTGGGGTGTGCAGTGATTCTGTCTAGGACAGGGGTGTCTGATCTTTTGGCTTCCCTGGGCCACACATAAAACATGCTAACGATAGCTCATGAGCTAAAAAAAAAAAAAATCCCCCCAAAATCTCGTAACATTTAGAGAAAGTTTACAGATTTGTGTTGGGCTGCATTCCAAGCCGTCCTGGGCTGCATGGGCCACAGGTTGGACAAGCTAGGTCTAGGACCTAACAGTCTGATAACTCTGCTGTCCTGTGCCTCTCCTGTGACCTCTGTGGCCACACCTTACTGACCATCACCTAAAGGAACACAACCGCCAGATGACTCTGGTCAAATTGCTTCACCCACCTCTGCTCTCAGTTGCCTCCCTGTGCATACACATAACAAGAGTTGCTGGGCTGGGCACAGTGGCTCACACCTGTAATCACAGCACTTTGGGAGCTGAGACAGGTGGATCATGAGGTCAGGAATTCAAGACCAACTGGGTCAACATGGTGAAACCCTGTGTCTAGTAAAAATACAAAAAAGTTAGCTGGGCATGGTGGCAAGCACCTATAATCTCAGCTACTCAGGAGGCTGAGGCACAGAATTGCTTGAACCTAGGAGGCGGAGGCTGCAGTGAGCTGAGATTGTGCCACTGCACTCCAGCCTAGATGACAGAATGAGGCTCTGTCTCAAAAAAATTGCTGCTCTTTGGGGCGGGACGCGGACTGAGTGAGTTGATGTGCATGAATGTTGAGCACAATGCTTGCTCCGCACAGAGTTCAGATTACTGGGACTTTGCAGGTTGCTGTAGTGAGGATAGAGTGAGGTGACTCTAGTGAATGGCGGTCATTTGTGTTCTAATTGGGCTCAGGGAGGAATGCAGGGCCTGTTTCTCAGTGCTGCAGGAGGACCACTGGCCTCTACCGGCTCCACAGAACCAGGACAGATGGTCTGGGTCAGAAGGAAGGCGCTTGGTGAGGGCTTCTGAATTCCTTCTTGGGTTGTCCAGAGGTGAGTCTTGTCCTCCCTCAGCAAGATGACCTGACAGAAGGAAGCAAGTAAGAGCACAAGGCTCAGCAGCCTGCTCATGGGCAGACCTCCAGGTGTCAGGGCCAGAGGCTCAGCCTAAAGCCTGAGGCCAAGCTGAAGGCCCTGCTTGCTAAGGGGTGCAGAGCCGGCCAGGACAGGCAGGCTTGCTGACATTGCAGAGGAGAAGGGTCTCTCTCTGGGCCCAACTGTACTGGTCCCCATAAGCCTCGGACCCCATAAGGTCTGGTCAGTGCCACACAGAGGGAACACCCCCAGGCTGCGCTACATGCCTGGTTTTACTCAGTCACATCACATGCCTTCATCCAGATAAGTTGGTCAGATCTGGGATGTGCCACATGGCTCTCAGGGGCCTCGGCTGACCGACTGCATTGCCCTGCTGGAAATCCTCACGGTAGGCCCCATGTAGGAGTAGGTGGTGGTGTGGCTGGCTCTCTGCTAGAAAAGAGCTCAAAACCCATACTCTGGGGGCCTTCACTTTAGGAGACAAATCAACCCATGTGAACACATGGGCCTAATTTAGATTCTAACTCAAACATAAATAAAACAACAATGGTTTGTGGGTCAACTGGGAAGATGTGAAATTCCTGGTTATTTTGTGATATTAAGGAATGACTGTTAATGGTTTTGAAGTGTGATAATGGTAATGTTATATTTTCTAAAAGAGGGTCCTTAAGTTTTAGAGGTACACACTAAAACATTGACAGATGACAGGCTGTCGGGGACCATTTCAGAATCCCCTGGTGTTAGGAAGTGGGCAGGTGAGGGTGTGGACAGAACCAGGACTGGCTTTGAGATGGTAACTGTTGAGCTCTGGGTGACGGAAAGACAGAGCTTCATGAAAAGCACACTTTATTTGTGCATATCTTTGAAAGTTGCCATAATAAAATCTAGAAGGAGGAGGAGGAAGATGAGGGAGGAGGGAGAAGGGGAGAGGGGAGAAGTAGGAGGAGGAGAAGGAAAAGGGATAAGGAGGAGGGGAAGGGTAAGTAGAGGAAGGAGAAGGAGTGGAGCAGGAAGAAGAGGAGATGAAGAAATAGAGGGAGGAAGGGGCCGAAGGGGAGTGGGAGGAGACGGACATGGAGGTGTGGGGTAGGAGCTGCTGCTGCAGTGACCCAGATGGCCCTGCTTGTTTAGGTCTAAGAAACTGGAGACCATCGTAAACAGGAGATGCCACCCTGTCTCTGGCTCTCCCACAGCCTCAGCCCCTCCCATTCCAGGGCTGGGGCCCCTCTCACTTGCTGGGAAGCCAACTGAGTGGTGCAGGGCTCCCCCTCCCTGTAGAGCACAGGGCAGGCACTGACCGTGGAGAGGCAGCCCTTCTGCTCCCGGAGGATGGTACCGAAGCCGAGGAAGCCGGTGGCCATGACAAGTGCGCCCGCGAAGATAAGGATGTAGGCGGAGGTGGCAAAGGTGCTAGAGGCCAGGACGCTGAGGTAGCCACTCTTCTCCACCAGGGTCCAGATGCCCACGGCCAGGACGGCTGCTCCCCCGACCTGCAGGACACCACTGAGTTAGAGCAGGGGGCGGGCGGGGGCCTCAGCAGCTACCATTCATTCAGTGCCCACAGGGTGCCAGGGTCTTCTCCTGCACTGGCTCAGTCAGTGAGAATGGCGTGGTTATCCAATTTTATAGATGAGGAAACTGAGGCTGAGAGAGGTTAGGAGACTTGTTCAAGATAAGCAACCTGAAGAGCCAGGTTTTGAGTCCAGGTCTGTGAATTCAGTGCTTTTTACTGTGGTGGCCTATTGCATATGAGGCCGGGGAGAGGACAGCAGTTTCAGGGTTGACCAACATATCTGAGACCCTTCACCTCCCAGCTTTTCACCTCCCCAACTCCTGCCACCCCCGGCTCCTCTCCCCTCAGTGCACTCCCTCCCCCTGCCCCACTTCCCTCCCCCCGCCCCACTTCCCCAGTGGGACTGAGCAACACCCCTTGTTTAAACCTTATGTTTGCCGATTGGGGAAGCACAGCTGGGCTTTTTATCCCTATTCTACAGAGGAAGAAACTGAGACCCACGGAGGAAAGGTAAATTGTCCAAGGTCTTGCCTGTAGTTGAGGGCAGGGGCAGAGGCAGGATGAGAGTTCGGAGCCCAGGGCCTGCCCACTCAGTCACACTGCCTCTATGATCAAAGAGCCAGGGGGCTTGACAGGCTGGAGCTGCCTGGACTGCAGGAGGAGAAATTTTTTGGCTAACTGTCTGACTCCTCTTTGGTCCTGAGAAGGGGGCAGGCATAGGACACTCCTGATTTGCAGATGGGGGGATGCCTCCTTAGAAACCGGTGTACTTGGGAAATATAGCAGGGATGGCTCAGCTTGACTGGCTCTATTTGCAATGAAGACAAGTAACTCTTTCTGTGACTCTTAGACCCAGCAGAGCATAATGTATGTGTATATACACACGCACAGCATCTTCAGGGTACCAGATGGGGAGTACTAGGGTGTTTGCCCAGGATTTGGGGACAGGACCCCAAGACTCCTGACCCTCTCTGCCATCTGCTCCTGGGAAGATGGCCTTCTGCCCGCTAGTCTCCCTGTCCCCATTTAAGGATGGGTCTCTTTCCTTTGATGGATGTCGGATGCTTCCTCAAGGGGTCCTGGGCATGCTCAAAGCTAGAGAAGTGCCCTGGGTTCTGTCCATGCCCCCCTTGAGCCTTGTCACTGAGAGGAGCTCCCCATCTGCCCCAGGAAGACTCCACACAACATACTCTGTCATTTCCTAGTTCTCTGTTCTGGGCAGTCACAGACATCCGTTGAGCAAGTGAACATGTATTTACCATTTTCTCTTCTGAGCTTGGCAACAGCTCTGTGAATATGGGGCAGGGTGGCAGGGCACATATTCTCTGTTGTGCAGATGAGGAAATTGAGGCTTGAAGAGAATAAGAATGTGCCCAAGATGACACCATTAGAGTTTCAGAATTGAGATTAAAACCTACATCTCCGGAGAGCAAATCCAGGACTCTGTCCCCAGATCCCACCCCAGTGATGCCCTCAAGCCATCTCACTCCCCTGCTGGGGCTCAAGTCCTCCGCCTTCTCTGCCACCTGTCTTAGATCCCACAGACTGGGCTGGGCCTGCTCCACTACTTCTGTGTCTTTAGTAGGTGCTATTTCTTCAAAGTGCCATTGTACCTCCATTGGCACCTCCAGCAGGTGGAAGAACACCATCAGGGCTATGGCAAACAGAATGGGAGCAGCTACCATGCAGATTTCTTCAGTTCCATGATGCACACATTTTTCCCTCACATTTTAACATCTCTAAAATTGGGATGTATCTTATGACTGACAGTATTTAACAGTTATACTTGGCAGCAGGTTTTCTTAGTGGTACAAAAAACAATAATGTATCATACCACTGATGATATCTTAGATTCAGTGAAATCCTAGAATACAATAGGCTTTTAAATTCTCTGTGGGTATAGGTTATCTCATACAATCTCCATGACTAGTGAGGGATTTCCTGAGTTTGGGTCAACAAAATTGTGTAAAATGAGGGTTTGCAGCCAAATATCCTGTAAAGAATTCTTTCTCCCCCCTACAGCATGTCTGGAAGGCTTAGGTGAGGGTCCTAACTTTGTATAACTAGCGGTGTGACCTAAACATGGTCTTTTAACCTCTCTGGACCTCAGCTTCTTCATCTCTCAAATAAGGGAGTTGTATTAGATCAGTGGTTTCCAACCTATAACCACTGGGAACCCCTTTGAGTACTTTTCCCTGTCGATCTAATGTTTTGAGGGCCTCCACCTCTCCCCCAGAGTGTTACATCCTTAGGTAAGGAATGAGAAGGTTTCAGTCATTCAGGGGGCCACCTCCTTGGGTGGTCAGCTCTTTAGAAAACAAGCTTTCCTCTGGATCGGAAAATTAACACTGCTCACTGTTGGATGGTCACCAGAGGGGCTCACGGGAGGGCAGAAGTCAGCAGCCTGGGTTCTAGTTCTGCCTGTGCCCCTGACTAGCCACATGACTGTGGGACAGAAAGCAGCCCCTCTAAGCCTCAGTTTCTTCATCTGTAAACTGGGGGCACTGAATGGGAATACCTCTGAGGTTCCTTCCACGTGGTTAAACTGTCCCTGTTAGTACCGAGGGTCAAGTTTCTGCCAAACCACCTCTGGCAAGATGGTTCTGAACCAGTGGCTCAAGGCTGTCACTAAAGTCACCTGGAAACTGCTTAAGTCAGCAGAGAGGAGGAAGAGGGACTCATGGGGCAGGGAGAGATCTGACTCCAGTGAGCTACTCAAAAGCCATTGGCATACAGTTGATTCAATAGTATTTGGCTCTTTTCAGAAACTGGTGTAATTTTCCACTGGGGTAATAACTACATTTTTTTCTTTTTTCTCACACTGTTGCCCAGCCTGGAGTACAGTGGTGTGATCTCAGCTCGCTGCAACTTCCACCTCCCAGGTCAAGTGTTTCTCCCTCCTCAGCCTTCCGAGTAGCTGTGATTAGGGGCGTGCACCACCACGTCTGGCTAATTTTTGTATTTTTAGTAGAAACAGGGTTTCACCATGTTGGCCAGGCTGGTCTCGAACTCCTGACCTCAGGTGATCCATCCATCTTGGCCTCCCAAAGTGCTGGGATTACAGGCGTGAGCCACTGCCTGGGCAATAACTACATTTTCAAAGCCATAGCCTGTGGCCAACTAGCCAGCAAGCCCTGCAGAGGGTGAAGCCAGGCAACGAGGATGCAAGCTGAGCTGGCTGGGAGGGGTGGAGCAGGTTACCCCTGCTGTGTAATTTTAGGAACTTCCCATTCATAGGAAACACGACGGGGTGAAGCATTAGCCTGAGAAATGCATGCCTGGCACTCAGAGAAGCTCGTTCATGAGGAGGGCGAGCAGCAGTGCCTAATGCCCACTTGTGTGCCCTCCTGGGGCGCTCGGTTGCTTGGGCGTGGGACAGGGGTGCCATCCACCCTGCCTGCCTGTGGGCATACAGCTGAGCTGTGCTCTACTGGGGCTGCAGCCCGGGGTTCAGCTGATTCTTCTGATGTGGGAATGGGAAGCTGTTCTTTAAAAGAAACAGCCTTGTTCAGACCCAGTCTCCCAGTCCTCTCCCTGAGCCTCCATGCTGTGTTTGCTCCCCAAATTAGACCCATTCTTTTCTTCTTCATAGCAGAAGTCACTCTGGTGACTAAAGACCCTAAGTCAGATATTGGGGCAGGGACAGTGGCAGTATGGGTCCCATGACAGCCCAAGAGCCTGACGTCACTGTAGCAGGTGCACAATGGGTACTGGTTGAAAGAATGAGAATAACCAAGCATCAGTCTAGCCTTAAGATTCTTAGGGTCCAACCCCAGCCTTTCCAGGAGACTCTTCCTAATGACCCAGAGAAAAAGCCCATTCCCCTCTGGGACTGCTGGGACTTTGTGGACTGCCCCTTTAAAATCAAAACAACCATAAAGCAGGAAAGAGGAACACTAGCTGTTGCCCCAGGAGCTCAGCAGACTGAGGCAGGTGGGGGAGCAGATGCCATTTCTACAGCCCTCTAAGAGCCCCATCCACTGAGTCCCACACTTCCTGGGGTGGCTCCCGGGTGCTGGGCCACGTTCTTAGGGGAGTGAGGGGAGATCCCCACCCCCCAGGGCCGAGGGCTGCTGTGAAGTGAGCAGCACCACAGACATGTAGGAAAGGGTTGAACTCACCTGCCCAGGACAGTCAGAGCAGATGCCACACTCAAAATCTCAAAATGGGCCTTAGAGGGTGTGTAGGAGTTCAAAAGAAGAGGGAGGGCCGAGAGAACAATGTGAGAAAGGTGGGCAGGGATGAGAGAGAGCCTCCCTGAGGCCCACAGGGCTGTTTCACTTATCCAAATCCACACAGCCAATAAACAGAGGGGCTTGGACTGGACACTGTGCTGCGCCCAGGAGTTCACCCTGTTTACCACTATGCTAACAGTGCCCGAGTTATTAGGTAACCACACTATTTTCAAGAAAAAGCAACTACTTGGTTCAAAGTGATTAAAACCCAGGTGTGGGGGAAAGAAAGTAGCAAATATGATGCCAAAAAGTTAAGGCCAGACTGTAAGAGCCCTGAGGCCATGTGAGAGTTTGGGCTTGGTGCCCTGGGCGTGGGAGCAGATGGGGACGTCTCAGCCAGGGGTGCCGTAGGGAATCAGCCTGTGGGCGGAGCAGAAGCTGGGAGCTGACCACGGTGGGGAATCCAGGTGGGCAGTGTGGCGGGGAGATGGAGACAGGTTGGAGGGCAGAGGGGAATGGTCACATGGTTGTTGCTGAGAGAAGGCAGAGTCTATAGGGACCCTGCGGGGTCTGGGGTGGGTGGGTGATAGTGCCATGGATGAGACTGAGCAGGGAGGAGGAACACAGATGACGAGTGTGGTTTCCATGGGTGAGCTCCTGTCCAGCCCAGAAGGTGATTCAGTCTGGTGTGGGGCTTGGTATGTAGCAGGTGGCCAGCAGATGCAGAGTCTACTATCACCCTGTGCACTGCCCGTCTCCTTGTGCGTTTCCACCTCCTGAACCATGGGCTCCTCCTCACTGACAGTGGAGAACTCCCCTGCCCAGAGGATCCTCCTTTATTGAGATTCAAGTTGTCCTGGTTTCTGCCCTATCCCTTTCCTTCCTGCCCATGCTCCTGCTGCCTTGGTTGATGGAATCTTCAACAATAAGCTTGTCATGCTAAGGGCCATTTTCCACCTGGAGGCATCCTTGTTTTTGGCTCTCTGGTTTTAAATAGCCCTTGATAATATAAATCACTACTACTCCTCTGCTGCCTTCCCCAGTCCCATCTACCCCTAAAACAAGAGTAAAATCATGAGTCTTACTGAGTGGTGGAGCTGGGAGGGAACATGAGATCACTTGTTCATCTTCCAAACCCAGCTCAGAGCCCAGAGGAAACCTTCCTTAGAGCTGTCCCTGCCCCCTCTCCCAGCAAACCATTCTGTCCTCTGTCCCAGCTCTGTGTCTTGTACATGGTTCCATAATTGCCCTCATCATATCCTATTTTATTGGCTATCTTGTGTGCCTCCTATTTTAGCCTCTTGATTAAACCTCGTTCATCTGTTTTTTAAATTTATGTTATTGCACTTTAGGTTCTGAGGTACATGTGCAGAACATGCAGGACTGTTGCATAGGTACGTACATCACAATGTGATTTGCTGCCTCCATCCCCATCACCTATATCTGGCATTTCTCATCATGTTATCCCTCCCCAACTCCCTACCCCTCGCTGTCCCTCCCCTAACCCCCCCAACAGACCCCAGTGTGTGATGCTCCCCTCCCTGTGTCCATGTATTCTCATTGTTCAGCAACCGCCTATGAATGAGAACATGCGGTGTTTGATTTTCTGTTCTTGTGTCAGTTTGCTGAGAATGATGGTTTCCAGGTTCATCCATGTCCCTACAAAGGATATGAGCTCATCATTTTTTATGGCTGCATAATATTCCATGGTGTATCTGTGCCACATTTTCCTTGTCCAGTCTATCATCAATGAGCATTTGGGTTGGTTCTAGGTCTTTGCTATTTGTAAACAGTGCCGCAATGAACATACATGTGCATGTGTCTTTATAATAGAACGATTTATAATCCTTTGGATATATACCCAGTAATGGGATTGCTGGATCAAATGGAATTTCTATTTCTAGGTCCTTGAGGAAGTGCCACATTGTCTTCCACAATGGTTGAACTAATTTACACTCCCACCAACAGTGTAAAAGTGTTCTATTTCTCCACATCCTCTCCAGCATCTGTTGTCTCCAGATTTTTTAATGATCACCATTCTAACTGGCATAAGGTGGTATCTTAATGTGGTTTTGATTTGCATTTCTCTAATGACCAATGATGATGAACATTTTTTCATATGTTTCTTGGCCTCATATATGTCTTCTTTTAAAAAATGTCTGTTCATATCTTTTGCCCACTTTTGAATAGGTTTGTTTTTTTCTTGTAATTATCTTTTAGTTCTTTGTAGGTTCTGTATATTAGCCCTTTGTCAGATGGGTAGATTGCAATTTTTTTTCCCATTCTATTGGTTGCTGGTTCACTCTAATGATTGTTCTTTTGCTGTGCAGAAGCCCTGGAGTTTAATTAGGTCTCATTTGTATATTTTGGCTTTTGTTGGCAATACTTTTGGTGTTTTAGTCATGAAGTCCTTACCTATGCCTATGTCCTGAATGGTTTTGCCTAGGTTTTCTTCTAGGGTTTTTATGGTGTTAGGTCTTAAGTCTTTAATCCATCTAGATTAATTTTAGTGTAAGGTGTCAGGAAGGGGTCCAGTTTCTGCTTTATGTACATGGCTAGGCAGTTTTCTCAACACCATTTATTAAACAGGGAATCCTTTCCCCATTGCTTGTTCTTGTCAGGTTTGTCAAAGATCGGATGGTTGCAGATGTGTGGCGTTGCCTCTGAGGCCTCTGTTCTGTTCTATTGGTCTATATGTCTGTTTTGGTGTCAGTACCATGTTGTTTTGATTATTGTAGCCTTGTAGTATAGTTTGATGTCAGGTAGCGTGATGCCTCCAGCTTTGTTCTTTTTGCTTAGAATTGACTTGGCTGTGCAGGCTCTTTTGGTTCCATATGAAGGTTAAGGTGGTTTTTTTCAGTTCTGTGAAGTGGGTCATAGGTAGCTTGATGGGGATAGCATTGAACCTATAAAGTACTTTGGGAAGTATGGCCATTTTCACAATATTCTTCCTAACCATGAGCATGGAATGGTTTTCCATCTGTTTGTGTCCTCCCTTATTTCCTTGAGCAGTGGTTTGTAGTTCTCCTTGAAGGGGTCTTTACATCCTTTGTTAGTTGTATTCCTAGGTATTTTATTCTTTTTGTAGCAATTGTGAATGGCAGTTCATTCTTGATTTGGCTCTCTTTAAGTCTGTTATTGGTGTATAGGAATGCTTATGATTTCTGCACATTGGTTTTGTGTCCTGAGACTGCTGAAGTTGCTTATCAGTTTCAGGAGATTTTGGGCTGAGATGATGGGGTCTTCTAAATATACAATCATGTCGTCTGCAAATAGAGACAATTTGACTTTCTCCTTTCCTAACTGAATACCCTTTATTTCTTTTTCTGCCTGAATTGCTCTGGCTAGAACTTCCAATACTATATTGAATAGGAGTGGTGAGAGAGGGCATCCTTGTCTAGCGCCAGATTTCAAAGGAAATGCTTCCAGTTTTTGCCCATTCAGCATAATATTGGCTGTGGGTTTGTTGTAAATAGCTTTTATTATTTTGAGATACATTCCATTTATACCTAGTTTATTGAGAGTTTTTAGCATAAAGGACTTTTGAAATTTGTCAAAGGCCTTCTCTGCATCTATTGTGATAATCATGTGTTTTTTGTCTTTGGTTCTGTTATGTGGTGGATTATGTTTATAGACTTAGATATGTTAAACCAGCCTTGCATCCCAGGGATGAATCCTACTTGATTGTGATGGATTAGCTTTTTGATTTGCTGTTGCATTTGGGTTGCCAGTATTTTATTGAAGATTTTTGCATCTATGTTCATCATGGATATTAGCCTGAAGTTTCCTTTTCTTGTTGAGTCTCTGCCGGGTTTTGGTATCAGGATGATGTTGGTCTCATAAAATGATCTAGGAAGGATTCCCTCTTTTTTGATTGTTTGGAATAGTTTCAGAAGGAGTGGTACTCGCTTCTCTTTGTATGTCTGGTAGAATTCAGCTGTGAAGCCATGTGGAACTGGGCTTTTTTTGGTGCATAGGTTATAAATTACTGCCTCAGCTTTAGCCCTTGTTATTGGTCTATTCAGCGTTTTGATTTCTTCCTGGTTTAGGCTTGGGAGGGTGCAAGTGTTCAGGAATTTATCCATTTCTCCCAGGTTTACTAGTTTATGTGCACAGAGTTGTTTGTAGTACTCTCTGATGGTAGTTTGTATTTCTGTGGAATCTGTGGTGATATCCCCTTTATTGTTTGTTTATTGCATCTATTTGATTCTTATCAGTCTGGCTAGTGGATCTTTTCAAAAAACCAGCTCCTGGATTTACTAATTTTTTGAAAGTTTTTTTTGTGTGTCTATTTCCTTCAGTTCTGCTCTGATCTTACTTATTTCTTGTCTTCTGTTAGCTTTTGAGTTTTTTTTGATCTTGCTCCTCTAGCTCTTTCAATTTTGATGATAGGGTTTCGATTTTAGATCTTTCCTTGCTTCTCATGTGGGCATTTATTGCTATAAATTTCCCTCTAGACACTGCTTTAAATGTGTCCCAGAGATTCTAGTACATTGTGTCTTGGTTCTCATTGGTTTCAAGAACATCTTTATTTCTGCCTTCATGTCATTGTTTATCCAGTCAACATTCAAGAGCCAGTTGTCCATGAAGTTGTGCAGTTCTGAGTTAGTTTCTTAATCCTGGGTTCTAATTTGATTGCACTTTTGTCTGAGAGAATGTTTGTTATGATTTCCATTCATTTGCATTTGCTAAGGAGTGATTTACTTCCAATAATGTGGTCAGTTTTAGAGTAGGTGTGATGTGCTGAGAAGAATTATCTTCTGTGGATTTGTGGGGGAGGGTTCTGTAAATGTCTATTAGGTTTGCTTGATCCAGATCCAGATCTGAGTTCAAGTCCTGGATTTCCTGCTTGTTCCTTTCTATGTTTAGTGCTTCTTTCAGGAGCTTTTGTAAGGCAGGCCTGGTGGTGATGAAATCTCTCAGCAATTGCTTGTTTGTAAAGGATTTTATTGGTCCTTTGCTTATGAAGCTTAGTTTGCCTGGATCTGTAATTCTAGGTTAAAAGTTCTTTTCTTTAAGGATGTTGAATATTGGCCCCCACTCTCTTCTGGTGTAGGGTTTCTACTGAGACACCTGCTGTGAGTCTGATGGGCTTCCCTTTGTGGGTAACCCGACCTTTCTCTCTAGCTGCCCTTAGCATTTTTTCCTTCATTTCAACCCTGGTGAATCTGACGATTATGTGCCTTGGGGTTGCTCTTCTTAGGAATATCTTTGTGGTGGTTTTTGTATTTCCTGGACTTGAATGGTGGCCTGGCTTGCTAGGTTGGGGGAGTTCTCCTGGATATCCTGAAGAGTGTTTTCCAGCTTGGATTCATTCTCTCTGTCACATTCAGGTACACCTATCAAACATAGATTAGGTCTTTTCACATAATCCTATATATATATATTTTTTTTTTTAGCAACAGGAAATTAATTTTATTTTTAAATCCAAGGGGCCAGGACCAATGAGACACCTACCCTTGGAGGACAAACTGAGGTGGCCAAGGTTGGGGGAGGGGATGACAGCAAGGGAGTGGCACAGGAATGCGTCCAGTCACAGCAGGTGGAGAGGCCCGCTTCACTCCGGCAGCAGCCTCCATCAAATACCCATTCTCTGGAGCCAGGTAGCTGTCGCTGCCCTCAGACTCCATGTAAATTTCTCAGCTGTGGTTGCCCAGACCCTCCAGCCCATTGTCCTGGCCGCCGCCACCCTCACCTTGGGCCTCATCCCTGCCCCGCTCACTGCCCCACTCCCCCCGCTTGTGCTCGCGGTCACGGTCACAATCCCCGTCCCGGTGCCGCTCACACTCACTCCGATGGCTCCGCTCTCTCTCCCGGTCATGATCCCGGCCCTTTTCCTCTGGACCATCAGGTCCATCAGGCCGGAGCTCCCCTGGAGGCCCGTCATCAGGTGGCGCATGACTCGCCTCAGAGGGCTCCGCCGTGTCGCCGCCGCCTCCACGCAGCTGCTCCTTGAGCTCCTGCTCCCGCCCAGCCCACTCCCGGCTCTGACTGCTTCGCTGTTTCCAGTCCCTGTCCTTGTCCTTGCTCCGCTCCATGGAGCGCCTATGCTCCTCCTTGTCTTGAGTCTGTGAGCGCCTCCTCTGGTCCCCAGAGTGGGAGCGTCGCTGTTTTCGCTCCTTGTCTCACTCCCGGCTCTCTGCGCTCCCGCTCGCAGTCCCGGTCCTGGTCCCTCTCATCCTAGTGGGAGGTGTCATCGAGGCCTGAATGACAGATGTTCACATCAGCCCCTCCTCTCCTGGTACCACCGAGGCCTCCTCCTAGTCGCCGGGGCCTCCAGCCCTTCACGGTTCGGCCCCTCTCCACATCCACAAGGACCCTCCTGCCATCAATCTTCTTGCCGTCTGTGTGTTTGTAAGCAGAGTGCATGTCCCACTCGTGTTCATACTCAATGAAGGCATAGCCACGGGGCTTTCCCGACCGCTTACTGTAGACCATGTGGATTCTTTTGATGGGTACCTACACCTCAAACTCTCTCCAGAGCTTGGATTCTGTTGTGTCACAGTTCATTCTCGCCATGAAGAGAGTCTTGAAGGTATCCCCCTGAGCATTGGGATCATGTGAGCTCTGTCTCCACTTCCTGCTGTTGCTGCTCAATCTTCTCCCGTCTTTTCCTCTCCATGCCTTCCTCTGGGTTTCTGCACGAGTTGGAGGAGGGGCATCTCGAGGGGCCTCAAACTCTGGAATGTAGGGCGCAATGCCACAGTAAGGTTGATTGTGGTGTTTTTCATGTGGCAGTTTCTCCAGGGGTGGCAGGTATGGGATAGGGTCATGGGGGGCAAAAAGGGCCAGAAGGTTGGGTGGCAGGAACTGGGTCATCTTGCCAAGTTTGCTGTGCGGAGCCTTCCTTGGTATGGCATGGGTCTGGAGGCTCGGGGTGGCTGCAGTGGCCCCTCAGCAACAAGAACTCCTGCTTTGGCTTCCACTCCGAGGGCATCTGCATCTGCCTGATTCCCTCACCCGCGCAGCGAGCTCACAAGGCCGCTGCTCAAGAACCCGCGCAGCCTCGGCTACTGACTGGCGCGGGGGTGCAATCCCATATTTCTTGGAAGCTTTGTTCATTTCTTTTCACTCTTTTTTTTCTATCCCTGCCTTCTTATTTTATTTCATTGAGTTGATCTTCCATCTTTGATATCCTTTCTTCTGCTTGGTCAAGTTGGCTATTGAAACTTGTGTATGCTTCGTGAAGTTCTCCTGTTATATTTTTCAGCTCCATCAAGTCGTTTATATTCTTCTCTAAGCTGTTTATTCTAGTTAGCATGTCATCTAACCTTTTTTCTAGGTTCTTAGTTTCTTTGCATTGGTTTAGGCACATGTTCTTTTAGTTCTGAGAAGTCTGTTATTACCCACTTTTTGAAGCCTGTTTCTGTCAATTTATCAGATTCATTCTCCATCCATCTTTGATCCCTAGCTGGTGAGGAGTTGTGATCCCTTGGAGGAGGAGAGGCGTTCTGGTTTTGGGTGTTTTCATCCATTTTGCACTGGTTTCTTCCCATCTTTGTGGATTTATCTACCTGTGGTCTTTGTAGTTGGTGACTTTCAGATGGGGTCTCTGAGTAGATGTCCTTTTTGTTGATGATGAAGTTATTTCTTTCTGTTTTTTTTAGTTTTCCTTCTAACAGTCAGGCCCCTCTGCTGCAGGACTGCTGGAGGTCTACTCCAGGCCCTGCTTGCCTGGGGATCGCCCGCGGGGGCTGCAGAACAGTAAGGGTTGCTGACGGTTTCTTCTTCTGTTATCTTCATCCCAGAAGGGTACCTGCCAGATTTTGGCCCGAGTTCTCCTTTATGAAGTGTCTCTTTGGGTATACTGGGGCTGGGGAGCTGCTTGAGGAGACAGTCTGTCCCTTATAGGAGCTCAAGTGCTGAGCTGTGAGCTCTGTTGTTCCATGCAGAGATGCTGGGCAGGTATTCTTAAGTCTGCCGCAGCGGAACTCATAACTGCCTCTTTTCCCAGGTGCTCTGTCCTAGGAAGGTTGGCTTTATTTGTAAGTTCCTGTCATGCTGCTGCCTTTTTTCATAGATGCCCTGTGCCACATGGAGTAGTCTAGTCACAGTCTGCCAGCAGGGAGTTGCTGAGCTGCTCCAGGCTCTGCCCAGCTGCTGTGTGAACTGCCTCAGTAGTGGTGGTTGCCCTTCCCCCCACTGAGCTGGCCCGTCCTGGGTCCAGCTGCGCTTGCTGCAAAACTCAATCCAGAGCATTTCAGATTGCTTGTTTTGTGGGGGTGGTACCTGCTGAGCCAGATCACCTGGCTCCCTGTCTCTGCCCTCTCCCTTTCAGTTGAATGGGTGGCTCTGTCTCCCAGGCGTTCCAGGCACCAGTTGAAACGGCTGCCCAGATTTGTGTGAGTTTCTGTGTACCAACCTGGCACCAGCTGAAACCGCTGTGCTGAAAACTCCTGATGATTTTTGGCCTGGGAATCTCCTGGTCTGTGGGCAGTGAAAATTTGTTTGGAAATGTGGTGGGGCACTCGCCCTCTGTGTTGTTCTTGCTGGGAACTGCACTCGAAGCTGTTTCTATTTGGCCATCTTGGATTCTCTCCAGGAAATAAATATTCTTAAGCAGAAATGCTTATTTAGCAAGAATCCTAATCATCCTACTGGATTTGTGTCTCAGAATGGAAACCATCTCTACCACACAGTTTACTGTCCATTTCAACACAGCTTTATTATCGCATCATCTTCATAATCACAACTTCACTATTCCAGGAAACTCTTGCCCAGGGAGATAAAAGTGACAAATTATTATTCCTTTCAGGAACTTTGCAAACAACATTTGAACAAATAGCAGATTGCCCAACTTTTTAATAGATAGCGTCTTGACTGGGCTATTCTCCAAGACTTTTCAAAACTCTTGCCTTGCCATGTCTACCCATCCTAAACTCTCATGTTATGATACTTTCCAATGCTAAGCAGGCCCCTGCAAGAAAGACCCTGAAAACTCAGACATGTCCCACCTTTGCATTTGCATTTCTGAGATGCTTCCAAGACTCAAAGACTTCTCTCTTACCACGGAAGCAGGAAGCCCAGCTCTGCCTTATCATAGGTTGACTTGGTGGCATTTTCAGGCATTTGACATCTAATGTATTCAAAATACTGCATTTATTGAATGCAACCCCAACAGGCTAGAAATTATCATTGAGTTGTAGCTGGGGAAACAGTTTCCTTTAACTTAAGTAAGTTGCCCAAGGCTGCACCATTGGTAGTCAGCAGAGCACGGGTCCAGCTGCCTGCAAAGCCTGCACTCTTGGTGCTCTTCTACCTTCTCAAATTTAGTGAGACTGTAATAACAAATATATACATTCCAGTGTATTTGTGGGAACTGGTGGTATTCTGCTCCCAATTACTCAGGTGATTGCTTCAAGTGGAAGGTCTTCCCCTCTGGAAGACCTCACCCAAGCAGGCTCCTGAGGGGAGTTACCATAGAGATCATTTTCATCACAGGCAGCGGTAGTCAGAGCCCCCAGGACTTCTGTTTCTCTGCCCGGGGCCTGGAGAATGTTAACCATGAAAGGTGAATGGACTCCAGTCATTATTTCAGGCAGTCCCATTTTCCAAAAGGCATGGGCGCGACAAGTTAGTGGGGAAGAAAGAACTGGACCCTTTGCACAGCAGGGCTAGAACACAAAGCTTATTGTTATGTTTGTGCATCTATTCAGATGCCATGTGGTACGAGCTCTGTGCCAACCTGCAGACCAATTCTTTTCTTCCTTCTTAGTAGCAAATGTACATATTTGCTTTAAAGTGGGAAGAGTTCACCCATGGTTGATTTTTGATTTGGAAGATATTAACCTCAAAGTGGTGACACAAAAAACAAAAGGTGGCTTGACTCATTCAGTGCCTGGGGAAGGGGATGTGTGTGCAGAATTCACTCACCCAGAAGAAGAAGTTGAAGACAAAGAGTAAATACTTCAGGTAGACAATCAGCCAGTCATCCTGCTCAGTCTTAAAGTGGGCCATGGCTGCTGGGCCTGCAGAGAAGACACATATGCTGGGCCGGGGAATCACCAACAACCACCTCATCCTTCTTGGAGCTAGAGCACCTTGGCAAGGCTCCCGTCAAAGGGCTCATTAGCCTATCTGTTGGGGGCTTTGAGGCTATGTGTGTGCAGCATGGAGCAAAGATCAGGGAATTGCAAAGGATACCAAATGGAGGTGAATTGGGACGGAATCTTCCAGACCTTTGGATGTCAGTTTTGTCCTCTTAACAAAGATCTAACCTAGTCTCCCACAGACTTTGCACAGGTCTTACTGTGTTCTTAATCTCTTTTCCAGTCTCATCAGCGTTGCAGGACGCAAGTGTACCTGTCCTACACACACACACAGACACATACAGATGCTCAGCGTCATTACTTTGCATAGGAAACTTGCACTCTGCATCATTTGAACAGGACCCTGCATCCACAAGTGTGGCATGAGCCCCAGAGCAGAGCACCTGTGCTGGAAAGGGCCCCAGTGATCACCCAGGCCACCCGACCTGGCTGCTGCAGCTTGACTTTCCAGATGAGGAAGTAGGCCCAGCCACACCTGGTGGTTTGGCAGGAAGAAGTACAAGAGCTTCTGGAGTCTGACTCCCTGGATTCACACCCTGATCTGTCACAAGATGTGTGATACTTAGGGCAAGTTACGTGACCTCCATCCTTCAGCATTCTCATCTGTAAATGGGGATAATAATGACACATATAGGGTTGTTTTGGAGATTAATGAAATAATCTACGTGAAGTGTTTAGCATAGTCCTTGGCATGAAGTATATGTTCAATCAGTATTAGGTATTATTACATGTCATAGAACTGGGGCTAGAGCCTAAGACTCCAGTCCTAAAGCTCCCGTGTATACCCCAACACCATGCTGTCTCTTGTCCTGACGTCCCCTGATGGACTCTCTAGGAGGTATGACATCAATGGTGATGATAAAGGCAGGTCCTACTGTGCCTGGTAATCCTGTTTGCTTCTCAGTCTTAACCTCAGAAAGTCTGAAGCCTTTGTGGTTTCCTCCTCTCCTTAAGCTACATGTGCCCCTGGGCACCTGGATACTCACACTCACAGAATAGTTGCTCTTTAAGAAATCACCCCCATTTTGAGAGCCTCTTTTATTTCAGAACCATAAGCAATGAGGCATGGTTTATGCTTATTCAGGGAGATGCTCAGCCAGCAGTCTGAGTCAGTCTTACAATGGACCATGGCTGCTGAGCCTGCAGAGAAGACACACATGCTGGGCTGGGGAGTTTAGCATTTCCATCTCTTCCTCCATTATTTCCAACCCCCAATTGGGCCCTCCTTTCATTCTGTTGTTGCTGCCTGGGCTGGTGCTGGGCCACGCCCCAATTATTTCCTCTGAGCCATTGCTCTGCCTCTTATTTCAAGCTCATGGGCTCACTGAGCCATGTGACTGACTTATTTGTGATTTCTATTTGCAGACTTTGAAGAAGGTAATTTAAGACTGTTAGTTTTCTCATTAAAAAAAGACAAAACTCACTTTTCTTCAATTTAGTTTTTGAGGTAGGATGGTGGAAGAAATATATAGAAGGACGAAAAAAGGAAGGCTGTAAGAAATGGCTGTGGATGGGGTCGGCCAGGGGATCTAACCGGAGCGATTTCACGGTCATTACGCAGTCAGTCCTGACAAGAGGCCAGGTGCAGGGTGTCCTGGGCCACTGCAGGTTCTTAGCAAGCAGCAGAGTTTGTGGGGTCTGGCAGCTCTGGGATGCAGTCTCTCCCACTGTGCACATCCCTTCCCTCCAGCCAGGGCCCCTGCACTTCTGCCCCAGAACCTTCTATCTGTGGCAAAGGGGCCTGACTCACTCAAACCACAGAGTCAGGGCCCTGCCCTCTAAAGGAAAATTGTATTTTTTAAAAATAGCTTCAGGCAGAAGGCAGGGCTTAAGGAAAAGAAACCATTCTAATGGTAACATTTCAGCCACTGGTGGTAGGGAAGATACAACCACAAAATGTCCGGGTCAGGTGAAACCTTTGGGATCCCTTAATTCTTCTGCAGAAAGAATGAGGAAACTTACATATTTAAGATGCACATTTAAAAATGCCTTTTCAGCCAGGCGCGGTGGCTCACACCTGTAATCCCAGCACTTTGGGAGGCCAAGGCGGGTGGATCACGAGGTCAAGAGATCGAGACTATCCTGGTCAACATGGTGAAACCCCGTCTCTACTAAAACTACAAAAAATTAGCTGGGCATGGTGGCACGTGCCTGTAATGCCAGCTACTCAGGAGGCTGAGGCAGGAGAATTGCCTGAACCCAGGAGGCAGAGGTTGCGGTGAGCCGAGATTGTGCCATTGCACTCCAGCCTGGGTAACAAGAGCAAAACTCTGTCTCAACAACAAAAAAAAAAAAAAAAATAGACCAGCCTTTTCTAAGGTCACATGGCTAATCTGTAGTTGAGGTTCCTATTCCCCACCGTTCAGTGCCCCTTTCCCCTAACAGCATGGGTGGGGCCCTGTGCTGGGGGTGGCAGAGGCCCCAAAGAAGCATCAGCACCAGCCTACAGCCAGATGACTGGCTCTGAAAGCCAGCCTTGCCATTTTACTGGCTGTGGGACCTTGAGCAAGTTATTTAACCTCTCTGTGTAGCTAATATTTATGGAACACTATGCGTTTGTTCAGAACTGAGTGCTTTACAAGCATTATTTTAGTCCATTTTCCTAATAGCCCTATGGAAATAGGGTTATTCCCATTTTATAATATAACTGAGGTTTAGACAGGTTAAATAATTCATCCAAACTCACAGCAAGTCAGTGACAAAGCCAGAGTTGAATAAATAATCTCTTCATCTGGGCTCAAGCTTTTACCCACTGTGCAGTACTCACAGGACCAGGCTTGCCAGGGCAAAGGGGGAAGGGGAGGGGCCAGACTGCTGATTCCCCTAATATCTGTTCTCTTTTTTCTTTAGGAACGGAACTTCTCCATTTTAGTTAGGTACTTAGTCACCTGGAACAGACAACATTTCCCAGCCTCCTATACTGTTAGGTATAGCCAGGATTCACACTGGCCAGTAAATGGTATATAAGAAGTGGTATAGGCAACTTTTTAGAAGCATCATTTCTTGATATATGTTTCATATGCATTTGAAAAGAATGAGAATCCTGTCATTATAGGGTACGGAATTCTGTATGTGTTAATTAGATCAAATTTGCTGATTGTACTTTTCACATCTTCTATATCCTTACTGACTTGTTCTGTTGGCTATTGAAAAAGGTATGTAACAGACTCTATGACGGTGCATTTATCATTTAATACTGATAATTTTTGCCTCACATATTTTGCAGATATTTTATAGAGTGCAAAGAAATTTGGAGTTGTGATATTCTGGTGGATTAAATCATTAATGCCATTCTTTATCTGTAATAATCAGAGGAAATCCTTAATGTATGTGGGGGATATGTCTCTCTTCACCCTTTCTGTTGGTTGGAATGCTGATGTTATGGCTGGAGCTCAAGCAGCCATACTGGGCCATGAGCTGGAAACCATGGGTTGAAAGCGGCAGGTCAATAAGTTCAAGGAGTCTGGATCGCAGGTGATTTTAGAACTGCCATACCATCCCTGAGCTGCTTACCTCCAGATTGGGTTTACATGAGAGAAAGACAAGTTGTAGGTTCTTTGTAGTACATGTTTCGATATGCTATGGCTCACAGCTAACATCATCTTGATACAGAAGAGGAAGCACTAGGTACTAAGGTGTGCGAAAGCATCCCATGCCAGGGCATGGCAGGTCTTACACAGTAGGACCAGAGGTGATGCCGTACAGTGGTTGCCAAGCAATTCTGACAGTACAACTGCCCTAATTTGATAAATTTTATTCATATACTATTGTTAAACCCCTGAGTATCTGCAGTATAGGTTTTTTTTGTTTTGTTTTGAGATGGAGTCTCACTCTGTGGCCCAGGCTGGAGTGGAATGCAGTGACGTGATCTTGGCTTACTGCAGCCTCTGCCACCCGGGTTCAAGTGATTCTCCTGCCTCAGCATCCCGAGTAGCTGGGACTACCAGCACGTGCCACCACACCCCGCTAATTTTTTTGTATTTTTAGTAGAAACGGGGTTTCACTGTGTTAGCCAGGATGGTCTCAATCTCAATCTCCTGCCTTCATGATCTGCCCGCCTCAGCCTCCCAATGTGGTGGGATTACAGGCATGAGCCACCATGCCCAGTGGATATTCAAATTTTAATTCTGCATTTTTTAAAGGTAAAAATAATTAAGGAATAGAGATTCCAGTAAGTCCTCCCTGTACCTGTGTACTGTCTGTCTCCACTCTGGAGGCCACTGGTACAGAGTATGAATGGAGTGAGAACTGAAGGGTATGTAGGGGGTCAAGAGCGTCCTTACATGTCAAGCTTGGGGACTTGGATTCACATCCTGAAGGTGATGCCAACCCCAGGATGGTGTTGCTTAAGTTCTAGAAAGAGAATTGGGTGGGGGGAATGGAGAGTAGGGGACAGATGCCTAAACAGCATAGAGGGGAGGTCCCATCAGGCAGACAGAGTGTGTGAGTAAGAGGCAGGGGAGGAAAGATTCTGAGGAGGAACCCTGCTCTCTAAAAAGAGAGCCAGTGGAGGAAGAAGAAACCAGGCAGCAAAATGATGTGCAAGGGAGAAGGCAGGAGGAGAACCAGGGGAATGCTGGGTCCTGGAAGCCAGGGAGGTCCACAGTGCCACATGCTGCCAAGAGGTCTCAGTCACATGAGGACTAGCAAGGGCTCACTTTCATCCATGGAGGACGGGTTGGGGGTTAGGAATGCACCATTAGGTGGAAGGAAATGAGACAATGAGACCCAGCAGTGGATTTTTTTTTTTTTTTTTTTTGAGACAATCTCACTCTGTCGCCCATGCTGGAGTGCAATGGTGTGATCCGGCCTCACTGTAACCTCAGCCTCCCGAGTAGCTAGGACTACAGGCACCCGCCACCATGGCCAGCTAATTTTTGTATTTTTAGTAGAGTTGGGGTTTCACCATATTGGCCAGTCTTGTCTTGAACTATTAACCTTGTGATCCACCTGCCTCAGCCTCCCAAAGTGCTGGGATTACAGGTATAAGCCACCGTGCCCCACGGTGGTGGATATTTTTAAATGACAAGGTCAGGAGGGAAGCAGCTAGGAGGCCTGGGAAAGGAAGCTGATACGGTTTGGCTGTGTCCCCACCCAAATCTCAAGTTCAATTGTATCTTCCAGAATTTCCATATGTTGTGGGAGGGACCCAGGGGGGAATTTCCATATGTTGAATCATGGGGGCTGGTCTTTCCCGTATTATTCTCATGGGATCTGATGGTTTTATCAGGGGTTTCTGCTTTTGCATCTTTCTCATTTTCTCTTGTTGCCACCAAGTAAGAAGTGCCTTTTGCCTCCTGTCCCAATTCTGAGGCCTCCCAGCCATGTGGAACTGTAAGTCCAATTAAACATCTTTTTCTTCCCAGTCTCAGGCATGTCTTTATCAGTGTGAAAATGGACTAATACAGTATATTGGTACTAACAGAGTAGGGCATTGCTGAAAAGTTACCGGAAAATATGAATGCAACTTTGGAACTGGGTAATAAGCAGAGGTTGGAACAGTTTGGAGGGCTCAGAAGACAGTAGGAAAATGTGGGAAAGTTTGGAACTTCCTAGACACTTGTTGAATGGCTTTGACAAAACAGCTGATAGTGATATGAACAATATAGTCCAGGCTGAGGTGGTCTCAGATGGAGATGAGAAACTTGAGCAAACGTGACTCTTGTTATGTTTTAGCCAAGAGACTGGCAGCATTTTGCTTCTGTTCTAGAGATTTGTGAAACTCTGAACTTGAGATGATTGAGGGTATCTGACAGAAGACATTTTTAAGCAGCAAAGCATTCAAGAGGTGACTTGGTTTCTATTAAAGGCATTCAGTTTTGTAAGGGAAGCAGAACATAAGAGTTTGGAAAATTTGCTGCCTGACAATGTTTCATTTTCTGAGGAGAAATCCAAGCCAGCTGCACAAATTTGCATAAGTAATGAGGAGCCAAATGTTAATCCCCAAGACAATGGGGAAAATATCTCCAGGTCATGTCAGAGGTCTTCATGGTAGCCCCTCTCATCACAGGCCAGAGGTCTAGGAGGAAAAAGTGGTTTCGTGGGACGGTTCCCGTGCTATGTGCAGCCCAGGGACTTGGTGCCCTGTGTCTCAGCTGCTCCATCTGTGAGTGAAAGGGGCCAACATACAGCTCAGGCTGTGGCTTCAGAGGGTGGAAGCCCCTAGCCTTGGAAGCTTCCATGTGGTATTGAGCCTGTAGGTGCACAGAAGTCAAGAATTGAGGTTTGGGAACTTCTGGCTAGATTTCAGAAGATATATAAAAATACCTGGATGCTCAGGCAAAAGTTTGCTACAAGGGTGGGGCTCTCATGGATAATCTCTGCTAGGGCAGTGTGGAAGGGAAGTGTGGGGTTGGAGCCCCAACACAGAGTCCCCACTAGAGCACTGCCTAGTGGAGCTGCGAGAAGAGGGCTCCTGTCCTCCAGACCCCAGAATGGTAGATCCACTGA